GCAGACTGTACTTCAGTATCTGTCTATATTTCTGAGATGAGGTATTGAACTCACACTCAAGGACACATGGCACAGTGGATAAAGGTGTTGGTTAGATCCAGTGACAGGACCCAAAGAGTGTGAGTTCAATACCCGGTTAAGGCAGAGGGGAATTAGCAGGAGATAACTGATAACTCACATCCATGGCACATGGAACTAAAACAGTCTACTCCAGTGAGAGAAATAAAGGGTTCAGTTCAACATTCCAACCACCTGAAGGCCGAAGCATACAACGGCCGAAACGTTGTAATAAATATGGCAACCAAGATAAGGACAATAGTCAGAATAGAGACTGTACTTCGCTATTGCATTTACAAGATAAGGACATTTTTTTTTTTTTATTAGCTTTTGCTATTGTTTTTGATCACAACACTCAGGTTGTTACATTTTATGACTTTCCTTTGAAAACAAGCAATACAAATCATAAATAAATTAATCACCTTCAATAAAATTTAAACTTATCTTCTGGGAGGATCTAGGTAAATTGCTTGAAAAATAATTTCTCTATCAATTGCTTAAAAGGCAGATTGCTCGAAGTAAATTTCAAAGCTCAAAGCAACACGTAAACTACGCTGTCTCACGACATATCAACAGAGTTGGATATAAAAGGAGCCACAACACTCAACTTTAGCTGTCCTGATTTTTTTTCTATATTTGTTTTCTATTTCTATTTCAGTAATTTTGGAGATCTCGAATCCTAGTGATGGACATAACTTTTGTTGAGTGCGAAAAAGGAAAGAAGAAATTCTGTTTGGATGGATATCTATATATTAAGGACAAAACAGTGAACAATAAGATTTACTGGAAATGTGAAATGTGCAAAAAAAAGGAAATGCTTAGCATGGGTTTTATTCTAACTTTTTTTTTTTTTAAAATCACAGGTTTCGAGCAAACTGCTTTTTGAGAAAAAAAATAAGACCTGCTATATAAATGTACTTGTTCTTTAATTTTAACTGTTCACTTAACAACAATAAAGTTGTATTATTTTATAGTAAATATTAGTAGTTTTATTTTTTTTTAACCACAGGTTTCAAGCAAACTGCCTTTTAAGCAATTGATAGTTCGAGAAATTATTTTTCAAGCAATTTACTGACGAGCAACTGATTTTGAGCAATTTACCAGATACACTTCTGGAAGTGTGTCCGATTTGAACATAGAGGCTTAGTGTTCAAGATTGTTGGGACTGTTTGTATTCACTTTACACTAATACCCTTGAGAAAGATAGGAAATCAAATTCTCCCTGCAGGGTAAGCAGTTAGTTAACTGGAACCTCTTTAGTCCAGGCCTATAGAATTTCATTGAAACTACAAACAGAATTACTTGGAGTTGCAGTTCAATGCACTACAAGAAAATATGCTGCAATAAATAAAATAGCATATACAGGGTGCGATAGGTAAATTGTCGCCATTTTATACTTTTAATTTTGTGTATATGTGTTGTTTGTTTTTGATTTTGTCAACAGCATAGTATAGTAGGGTCATTTGGGCAGCATCTGTGAGAAAAAAGTATCATGACAATTCACTCCATCAGAAATTTGGAAAAGGTATGCTGTACTGCTTGGCATATTTGCTGGAAGCTCCAATATGAACATTTCAGAGTGTTTGGGTGTCAATCTGAGGACAGTGCAGAGGATTTGGAAAGAGTTGGATGAGTCTAATGGTGATTACGAAGGTACGGCAACTTGAAAAACTCACTGATTGTTTTGTTAGGGAAAGAACTCTTAAGCTCAAAGAAAGAAAGAAAGAAAAAAATATCGATAAAACCGATCACTTTGGGACATCCAATTCAAATCCAATGTAGCCGAGTTTTCCGCAAACTGCAACAAATTTACATGAAAATCATGTTGAGCATTAGTTTTATCAACAGTTATTATTTGCTAACCTTTTTCTTCAATATCGGTATCAGTTATCAGAAAAAAAAAAAAAAAAAAAAAAAACGATAACATCACGCTACTTTTGACTTCCAATTCAAATCCAGTCAAGCTGATTTTGGCCATATTTTTCGCAAATGGCGAAGAATTTTCAGCAAAATTCCTGTTGAGCATAGTATTTACCGACAATATTGAGGCGCCGACTTTCATTTGAAATATCAGTTTCAATTATAGGATATAAAAATCGATGAAATCATACCACTTAGACTTCCCATTCAAATCGAGTTTACCTGAATTTGGCGATGTTTTTCGCAACTTGCTTGGGATTTTGATTAACTTTATCAGCTTTAGTCGTGACAATTAAAAACTGAGCTCCTTTGTGACTAACTAATACCTGAGGAAAGTCGATACAATCATGTCTTCATCGGATTTCGTGAATACACCAATCAAACATATGTTCAACTAAGACGACTACAGTACAGACTCTACAGCTGATTGTTATTCACACATGCGTGACCATGCTTCACATAGCGATATCTCATTGGCTGGGTGCAGTACACGGTCGCTGATTGGTGTTCGAGACCCTAGGACGCTCGCTGATTGGCATAACCGATTGACCAGTAATACTTTGCATTTGAACCTGCTGTGCATAGCTGTGGGACGAAGGTCTCACTTCTGCTTCTGATACGCCGTTATCTGGTTGATACAAGAGACTACTTCAATTGATCATTTCTACTACTGCAAGTTGTTTCTTACATTTTGTTTTCCCTTTGTCTGTTTAACTACATTTTTCCAACTACCATAAACAATTTATTCAACCGTTTTACTTAAATACCTGCCTTCCCAATTCTGGCTCACACTTTGCGATATTAAGTTAGACTTCGTACTCCTGCAATTGAGCAACCCTAATCAACCACTACTAGCATCGCTTTTCACAATGCCGCCAAAAAGGAGGGTACGTCTTAGCCTTCAGTCTGCAAGAGTGTTTGCTATGAGGGCAAGAAGGGCCCACAAGTCCCAGGAGCAGACTACAATGCGACTATCACAGGTCGCTCAATGCAGCGCCCTCTCGCAGGCCTCGCAGTCACAAGAGGAGCATGGCACCTGCTTGGATTGGAAAGCTGCCTACAGGGCTTCGTCGCAATCAAGGCTCAAGAACGCACAACAGTTGAGAATGAATGCACAGGCTGCAGCAACCGCCTCAGCATCTCGGGCTTCCGAGACTCATCATCAAAGGCTTCTTCGTAAGAAACGCTGTTGCCACTGCGAAATCAAGGGCAATAGAGACACTTGATCACAAGTGTGCCCATCAATCCAGGGACACTGCTGCATTGGTGACCGCTAGGTTTGCTGAGACACCGCTCCGTAGGTCTGTTCAAAATGCTACGAATGCTACAATCACTGGCAGGTCGAGGGCAGCTAAAACATTTGACTGCAGGTGTGCCCATCAATCCCGGGACTCTGCTGCAACAGCAACTGCTAGGGCTGCTGAGACACTGCTCCGTAGATCTGTTCGAAATGCTAGAAATACTGCCACCACTGCCAGGTTGAGGGCAGCTGAAACATTCGACCTCAGATGCACCCGTCAATCCAGGGACACTGCTGCAACAGTTAGGTCGAGAGAGTCCGAGACAGAGTTGCAGCGGGCAACCCCCAATGCCCGCAACGCCGCAGTGACTTCTGCTGCCAGAAAATCCTAGGACCCACAGACAAGGGCAAACAGACTTTCAAGGGCTGCTACAAACATGGCCGCTGTGCACTTATGTCATACTCCCCAAGCTTGCCGTATACGCCTCAACAGCATCATTCAGAGCCTTGCGGCCGCCCGTGATATTACCTATCCCAGTAGCTCTTTTTGGTCTTTCTTGGCTTTCAATTACGACCCCAGCATTAACTTAACTACACGTGATGACCTCAATGTAGGGTCCATGACCTACGTTTGCCAATTCTGCAATGTCCGCAAATGGGCCGGGGATCCTGCCAGTCTGTGCTGCTCCTCTGGCAAAGTTCGACTGCCACCTCTGCATGAACCACCTGCTCCACTGAGGGGACTAATAGCTGGCTCCCATCCAGACTTCAACCACTTCCTTAAAACAATTAGGCAATACAACAACTCCTTTCAAATGACCTCATTTGGGGCTCAGGTGGTTTGAGAAGAGGGTTGGATGCTCAGTTTCAAAGTACAGGGGCAGGTATACCACCGCATTCGGTCTCTGCTGCCTGAGGAGACCTCTATGCATAAATTCCTTCAACTGTACTTTATTGCAGAGTACAACCTACGGGCCGAAACCTGGATTGGTATTTTGAGTTTGAAGAGTTCCTCACAGGGACGTCATACTACTACTTCAGGCCATGCTTCACGAGGTTAACAGCTACATTCGCAGCTTCAAATATTCTTTGGAAAATGCTCCTTTTCCTTCCTTTAGCACTGTAATTGATGCTGACAAATGGCCTCATGATGAACACGAATACTGCTACAATGCTCCTGCATGCAATGAAGTGGCTGCTATTATACATGGGGAGCAAGACTGCACTCGCGATATTATCCTCAAATCAAGAGGCGATGCTCTTTGCAGGAATTTCAGAGACCATCAATATGACGCATTGCAGTACCCTTTACTTTTCCCTTATGATGACGATGGCTACCACTTCGGCATTCCCCTTTATACTCCGAGTGGCCAACCTACAACGCCTTATCGTGCAAGGCCTTCTACTCATACCAGTTCATCGTTAGGGATGGAGACTTCAACCTGCTTTATAGATGCAGGGAGCTTTTCCACCAGTTTGCGGTTGACATGGCCGCTAAGATGAAATCAGAGACACTTTGTTTTATATGGAATCATCAGAAACAGCTGTGCTCAGACTCCTACGTACACTTACGTGACAGCCTTCGAAATGAAGTCAATCCCCACAACCTAGGGAAGCTGTGCATTCTACACTCTACCTACACTGAGGCGTTACATGCATGAACGCACGCAGGATGCTATGACATGCGTTAGGCCAGAAGCCATGCAGACTTATTTATAACGTTTACCTGCAACCCCAAATGGGTTGTGATAACACGTGAACTCCTACACAGACATGATTACACTCACAGATATGACATTACTGCCCACATATTCTGCTTAAAACTGGGAAAACTTATGGACTTAATAGTGAAGGGGTGAGTCCTACAGTGAAAACGCAACCACTATTTTACATTGCCAGAATTAAAAATCTTGACAAATTATGAAATGGGTGGCTGTCTTCAGGTAAGTAAGGAGCAGCAACACAGCAGCCACCTATTGCCACGGTTGTCCTTGATCTCATTGATTTTACTACCAGTGAGATTCCCGGTCTATCAGTGATCTCAACAACTGCGGATATGTGCGCTAGCTCAGTAATTCAAACCCCAAAGCAATTTAACTATATAAAACCCTAAGCAACGGGCTTTACTGCTAGTATCTGTTAAAATGAGATGTCAGTGTTATTTTCATGTTTGCGCAATTTAGACGACAATTTATTTATCGCACCCTGTACATGTTGAGAGTGGTACACTTGAGACATACCTAGCCACACATTCCATTTTATCAAAAAATTCCCCATCAACCATTGAAATTTCATCAATAATCAAATGACGACACTTCTTCCACTGCTGCATGACAGCAGGTCTTCTCGCCAACTCTGCACATGTTTCAATTGTACCTTTTCCTGAACCAATGCCTGATGAAGAAAAAAAAAATCCATGATTAAAAACAAAGACAAAATATTTATTTGCAATAAATTACACCTTTAAAATTTCTCATTGATTATGAATACAGTCAGCCTTGTCCCAAATAAACTCTGCAGCTATTAAGATGAATCTACAACTACTCTATAATGCTTATGAAGTGTTATATAAATTTGTTCTTTATTTAAATTATTTGGACTATTGTCCTCATCTTTGTCACCATATTTATTACAACGTTTCGGCACATGTACACTCTGGCCTTCGTCAGGTGGTTAGAATGTCAAACTGAACACTTTATTTCAAGGACACATGGCAAAGTGGATAAAGGCATTAGTCAGATCCAGTGACAGAACCCAAAGAGTATGAGTTTAAGGCGGTGGAGAACTTGGAGAGGGGAATTAATAGGAGATAACTGATAACTGACATCCATTAGACATGGAACTAGAGCAGTGTACTCCAGTGAGTGAAAAAAAAGGGTTCAGTTCAATATTCCAACCACCTGATGAAAGCTGGAGCATACAATGGCTGAAACGTTGTAATAAATATGACGACAAAGATGAGGACAATAGTCTGAATAATGTAAATAGTGTACATAATACCTCATCTCAGAAATATAGACAGATACTGAAGTTTGTTCTTTTCTACTTTTTTTTCTATGATTAAAGTCTTTATTAACAGTTATTTAATACATTATCATTTTATTATTGTCCAAGAATCTTTTGGACATTCATTTAATATTCATAGTTTTATTTGCAAAGCAGCCATGACACTTGATAGGATTATTTATTGATAAATTATGCCAATATATATTTTAGGAAAAATGTATTTCATTGCAGACAAAAATTGTATAAGAACTATGTTAGCCATTGATGAACATAAAACACTTCATCAAAAGCTCCCATTCAGGATAAAGAAGAAAAAAAAATTTATATTTTATTTTTCTGGATTTTAAATCACCCAAAATCAGAGTCAATAAAATAATTTTGTCCATTATCCAATGACACAGTCATCATAACACACCCAAAGATAAAATACAGCATTTCCACAATTATCTGGCAACCTTACCCAGTTACACCATCTTGCTACATTTAAAGATATATAATTTACCTCATCCCAATTGTTATGGAGGCAGTTACATTTGGATATATACGTTTCCTCCCAGACACTTTCTCTTGTATGCACCTATGACTTTTACTCTTGAAACTTCAACTTTATACTTCTGTATTATTATATTGTATATATAAAGATTTATTTTGTATTTCTCAACAAACTGTGCATTTTCTTTTAAATCATTACAAAAAAAGAATATACATCCAAATCAATTATACCGAGATATGGTGGGGAATGGACATTGTCATAAAAAATAAACAACTCAACCATAACTGATAACCTCCTAACTACCATAACTCATAAGATGTAATTGATTACCTTCATAAAAGTCTACAGAGAGAAGGTGGAGTGTTAAAAAAAAAAAAAATGAAATTTATTGTTCACATGTTTGTATTTTGGCCATTTTCAGGTGAAGATGTCTGATGCAAAAGTTTTGGTGGTGTTACAGATTATATTCTATTCTGTGGAACAGATTCAGTTATGACTACCTTTCCGGGCTGGCCCCTTCAATAGCAGTGCTAAGAACATAACTTAATACAGTTGCACTTGCCTTCTATTCTTCTAAAGGGAGAGACGTTCATCTGAATAGCATAAGAAAACAGACCAACTGAAACATTGTAAGGACAGCAGGGTGGTTGAGAGATATTAAAAATTAAAGACTGTCAAATCTGGCTCGCTTTGTCAGCGAGAACATTCATATTTCCCCCTCAATCATGCCGGGTTCAATCCCAAGCATAAAACCAAGATTTTGAATGCGGATTTTGCAGGCCAAAAAAGTCTTCAATTTGCAAAACAATCCTCCCACTCTATTCGATTTCCTCCCATACTAATGCAATTAAAATTGGATAGATATTGATAACTGATGATAATTTACCTGCAAACGAATGAAGAGTGGTACCACCAATTTGACAAGCTGCTACACCTGTGCTGGCTGTAGCAAATGTATGATCTGGTGGCAAAGATCCTAAAATAAAAAAATGAAAACAAATAAATACAAATCTGAAGACATTTTTTCTTCTTCAATAACAGAGACATTAATTTCAACAGGTTTTGTTTGTGTTTTTATATCCAACATAACTAATGAAAAAAAAAACAAGACTAAAATTTAATACATGCTTTTGGATGCCAAGATGAGGATTGAAAAAGAAAAAAAAATATCTATGTGTATCAGACAAAGGGATATAGATATATTGGAATCTTATGAAAATATTTTGGAAATGATAAAATGGAACTCCAGTGGCACATGTAGCAAGTAACTTATTTTAAAATTATAGAGATAAAAATTCCATTATATTTATAATTAAGCAATAAAATTGAGATTATGAACCATTTTAAAATTATGCTATTCATATTATAAAATAGTTTAAGATATTTAAAAACAAGACTACAAAAGCCTAGGCTTGATTCATACATTTTAATTGAAATATGAAGAATATAGATTTAATGTCAATTTTATCATGTCAAAAATGAAGCATTTCAGTATAAACGGAAGATGTTGGAGGATAAAAAGATTTTCTTGGAAATATTTCCAGTCTATAAAAAAAAATGTTAAGAAATAATTTTAATAAGCTTTTTAAATATCCTAAACTATTTTAACATTAATTGAGAGTGAAAAATATAAAAAAAACAAACATTAAAAACAAAAAACAAACAAACATTAAAAAAAATAATATTGCTTCCAACAGGAAATTCTTTTTGTAGTGTGTAATGTTTATATTAGCTATGAGATGCAATAAAACTATGATCTTCTTTAATTAGAAGAGAATTTAATTGATTTTATGTATAAAATATTACAGATCCTATTACCTTAAAAAATAAAATAAAATAAAAAAAAATGTTTTTAAGGAATAATTATCTTTTACAAGAATTTTGTTTTTAAATTTAATTATAATAATTCATGTTTTAAATCTTAAAATTCTGTATTAATTTGTAGCAGTAAAGTGATACAGTTATTAAATTAAAACTGTATTGACTAAAAATAAATGGAAAAGCTTAATTGAATTCCCCCCTCCCAATATTTTAAAAATCATTTAGAATTTATTTTATGTGCATATAAATGTGTTGATTTTTGCAAATACAGATATCCAAATGCAACACTATCAGAAAATAAGAGTAAACTATAGTAAAGTTAAAATTTATCAGTAATTTTCTAACATTTCTTTAGTAAGTATCTTTTGTTATTAAGTAAGGCAAATTGTAAATTTTTTGTCTTGATAGATTTGTCAATATGAAAGATTTTAGCATTTTTACTGGTAAATAAACAAAATAAAAAAATCATTTCAATCAATTTTGAAATATAACAGTATTTTTCTTATTGAAATATTAAATTTAAGCTATTAGCTTGAAATTAAAAGTAAAATATAAGCTTCAAGATAGATATTTAATTTTTAAAAATGCATTTTCAACATTAGGTAACCCTTTTCATATTTTATATATATATATATATATATATATATATATATATACACACAGCTTTCTTACATCAGTAGAAGACTTCACTAAATAGAGATGGGTGAATTTTACTCTTACAAGGGCTTCTACATCAGTGAAGGCCATTTGACATTCCATACATTTACAAAAAGCACTAACTACTAACGTGTTTCAAAGAACAAGGAAAAAAAAAAAAAAAAAAAGAATTAAATTACCCAAGATTCTGCGTAAAAGAAAAGATTTGCCTGTGCCTGCACTGCCAGTAAAGAATAAACTTTCCCCACGCACGACAACTTCCAAGACTCTCAGTTGTTCTTTGGTTAATTTAACTGGATGCAAAACAACTCTCTGAGAAATTTTATCTGATGGACACTGTCTTTTAGATGGATGTACATTTTCTTTATCAGCATCAGTCGATTTTCTCTTGGTGTTTGGGGTGGAATGAGAACACTTAGGCCCTTTGCCAACTGGAGAGAGTCCCTGGGCTGTTCGCAGATCTTTCATAGTCAATGGACTGATTTCCTGGAGAAAAATAAACAAAAAAAAAATTTACTTCATTGACATAACTATTCATCCATTTTGGAGGAGTTTTAAGATACAAAAGTCTACCAAATTTATTTTTCAAAATGAGGACATCCATTACTTGATGTGAAAAAAAATTGAAAAAAATGTCACAGACTGAAACAAATTTCATTAAAATCAGATGAAGGATTATAATTACAATTGTTTCTCTGCATTTTATGTAGGGAACGCCCCACACACACAAAAAAAAAAGAAGAAAAAAAAAAAAACAATACTTAACTTTTAAAAATGAACTTTTTCTTGAAGCTTTTATTTTAATTTTAAGCTATTAGATTTAAAACTTAATATTCCCAATAATCAAAATACTTTGCTATATTTCAAAAACTAATTTAAACTGACTGCAAGGAGTTATATATATATATATATATATATATATATAGCTGATTAGTGCCCCTTTTTAGTTGTCTATCATTGCAATGTATTGTAATTCACTTTATTAAAAAAAAAAGTCAAATATACTTTCCTGAAACTTTAAGAATATTAGCAGATTTAAAGTATAATTAATGTGATTTATATTATTTAAGTTTAAAATATCACAGAAATGCATTTTTTTAACCCGTCAGTAGCTGTGTTGACAATTTTTTCTATGGAGACTTTATCTGTAAATTATAATTGAAGAAAATGATGCGAGCACCTTTTTTTTACGAAAACAGTCTCTGTAATCTACGGTTTTATTGAATTTTAGAAATTTTGGCTTTAAATTTTCTATAGTTATCGCTCTTATTTTCTAATGATGTCATGTACGATCACCCATACTTGCAAAAAAAAAAAAAAAAAAAAATTATATATAAGCACATTTATACACATAGATAATGTTTGTGTTTGATAATTTGTATTAAGCTTTTCCATTTATGATTAGTAAGTTTTCAGTTAATAATAACATCATGTAAAGTAAAGGCTGAAATTAATACAGACTATTAATTAACAGAGTTAAAAAAAAACAGTTAAAAATCTACACTTTAAATTATTCAGACTATTGTCCTCATCTTGACGATACATGGCACAGTGGATAAAGGCGTTGGATAGATCCAGTGACAGAGCCCAAAGAGTGTGAGTTCAATACCCGGTTAAGGCAGTAGAGAACTTTCAGAGGAAAATTAATAGGAGATAACTGACATCCATTAAACATGGCACGTGGAACTAGAACAGTCTACCACAGTGAGCGAAATAAAGGGTTCAGTTCGACATCACAACCACCTGAAGAAGTCTGGAGCATACTAACGGCCAAAACGTAATAAATATGGCGACCAAGATATTAATGTAAATAATAATTAATACCTCATCTCAGAAATATAGACAGATACTGAAAAATCTGTCTAAGAAAAAGTTCTTGTTATTCACTGAAACAATTTATTTTAAGACAATGCAATCAAGCAATTAAAAAAGCTTTTCTAAATAAATAATGTCACTTTTATTGCATTTTTTTTTATTCTAGGGTTCTGAGCAATCCTGCTTTTAAATATAAACATGAAGAGCCTGAAATTTCTCAAAATTTCATTAAGTGGGGGTAACTAACATGTAAAAAAATAAATTATTTCATTTATTTGTGAATAAATCTTGAAAGTTTCATTAAAATCCTATTATTTGATTTTTGCAAGAATTTCCAAAACAATGTTTTTTTTTAAGGCCCAAAATCCCTTCTTATAATCTCCGGCCCGCCAGCTGACAAAAAAAAAAAAAAAAAATTAATTCATTTTTAGTAGCTCGGGAAAAGATCAACTTTTTTTTTTTTTTTTGTCAATTCTTATCAGAGAAAAAATATTTTATTTTTAGCATTATCTTCTTTTTTTACCCTAGAATTTCACCAAGAACATACGCAAATAAACAAAATGGAGATAAAATTAATAATAAAAATATTACATTTTTTTAAGAGACATAAAAAAATATGTTTTAAAAATAAAACATTTCATAAACTTAATCTCTAAATACATCAGCTGAGAATTTGGTTAAGATAAAATTATCTTAAAAATCAATTTAAAAAAATGTCCAAGTTTTAATTGTTTAGCTTTAATAGAAATGTTTTTTTAAATGATCAAATAACTCAGCTGGGAATAGAAAAACGAAATTTACAGTAGAGAAGGAATTACGATGCAGCATTTCGTCATCAGTTTTTTTTTTTTTTTTACCTGGAAAGTCCTTTGAATACAAGCTCGTAATTTTTCACGGTCACTAGTAAAGCCAGTTTTTTTCTTGCATTGTAGTTTTGTAGCCATTGTCTTCAGAAAAAGAATCAATTTATCTGGTGGACAATTGGATAACATCAATTGAATATTTCGGTCGGGCATCTTCACCGTGGCTTTGCCATCCTTGACAAATTTCTTGAAGATTTGAATCTCTCTTAACATGTATCTCTTGTCGCACTTGCCCAAGTCCAAACGTAAAATAATTTCGTTGTATTCATCTCGGCCCAAACTCAGCTGGATATTTTTATATTGTACTTGCTTGTTTATACAACCAAGGTGTGAAAGTTCTTGGATGGACACCCAACCTGTAAGTGTTTGGCACTCTAAGGACATAGCACTGATCACACATAAAATGAACCACTACACCTAAAATTAAAAAAAATATATTTAAAGATTTATTTCAAGAGCACAAATAAGATAACAGAGACTCGATTTTTTTTTGCGGGGGGGGGGGGAGTTAAGTGCAGAACAAAAAAAATAATGGAAGCATTTGAATTGAAACGTGTATGTCATTGAAAAGAAAATTTTTTTTTTTTTTTCATGGAAAAAACGGTTTTGGGGGAAGAGTTTTACTTTTCATGTACAAAATTTTATAAGAATTCTACAATTAAAACTAAAAAAGATACGAAAACACAATCTGCATAAAAAATACGGAAACAATTTTTAAAAATCCTTTGTAACCTCTTCTTAGTTTTCTTAAATGAGACTTTAAAAAAACTAAAAATAAACAAAAAAAACTAAAGTTTAAACAAAATACACATTTTCATTCTAAAAGGAAATCATAAGATGTTTAAAATAATTTTTAAATTTTCTTATGAGGAAAGGGCATTTAAAGAATATGAAATATAAAAAAGAAGTGACAAATATTAATCACTTGTGTTTCTGTTATTTAGTGGGGAAAAATGATTAAAAATTAGATTAATAAATCAAATAAGTTTTAATTGACATATTATTTAATTATCACTGCAATTTTGGTGTTAAAAACTGAATTTAAAACTGTACAATCAAAAAAAGAAAAAATAAAGTCTGTAATGTTACGTGATCTGATCTTGTTGTAAAGTTGAAATGATAGCAATTTGATTATTATGCAAAGAAACAAAAATACAAGAATTAATTGAAATTCTTAATTCAGTCTTCTTAAAAAAAAAAAAAAAACGTGCATATCACTAATCACGAAAAAAAATGTATATTTTTAATAAGATTCCGATTCAAACAAATTAAAATATTTCTGTGAATGACTACGAAATTAACCTTAGTTAAATTTAATATAAATAAAAAATTATCTTAAGGAGCAACTTACTTTCTTCATTCACCAAACTTCCTTCCTCAATACATATTTCATTCATTCCCGTCCGGAAAGTAAATTTTTTTAAAAATAATTGGACTACTTTTTGATTGGTCAAACTGGTGTGCATATCAACCAATCACCAAAGAGAATACTTCTTCATACTTCTCAGTATTTTCCATGCTTATTTACAAACTTAAATAAGTTAATAATAACGGTACAAAGCAGAAGGCTTCCCTCATGGACTGAATAAACATTCTAAGTTTTGACCCCCTTTTTTTTAAGCTCGAATACCAACCACAGATTCCGATGGGGTGTCGTGTACCGAACATTATTGTGCTGACTCAGTTCTTCTCTCTCCGTTGTTGTCTTTTAATGCAAATTTTTAAAAATTCTCTGAAATTATTTACAACGTTAAAAAAAAAATTAAAAGCATGCAAATAAAAATAAAATTGTTTTTAATGTACTTGTAAAATAATACACGATAAATTCCTCTTTCTTTTTATTTTGAAAGATTAAGAAACGTGGCTCCCGAAGGTAGAGCTTAGCATCGAAAAATCTATTGCCGTTTCCGAGTCAGTGATGTTCGTTACCACAAACAAATTTAATTACTCCCTAGTGTAATGTCTACAAAATGAAAATATTAGCTAGCAGCAAGTTAGTGACGCAAGCCATTGCCATCAATTTCAGTCACTCGATCTTCTATGTATTGTACTGGGAATCAATATAAAATAAAATAAAAAATTAAAAAGTAACTTTATTTAAAACTAAAAGTCAATCTTAGCTGCTAGCCAGCTACTTTTTTTTTTGTTCAATGCAAGAATTCAACGGAAATAAATCTTTCATTAATTTGAATTTAAAAATGTTTTCGTTTCTGTGTATATTTGTCCTAAATTTGACTAGAACAAAAAAAAAAGTTTATTCATTTTATTTGCCACTTCATAATTTGTGTCTTTTTTTAAATGAAATCTATTCCACAACGGACTCGCAAGGATGCGAGTTCAAATCTGAATCTAGTCAGCAGAAGCCGTATTTTTCGTTTTATTTTTTTTATTTTTTCGTTTCATCATACTCGGGTTGTAGAATAAAACGTCCTAAGCGTGAATATTTTCAAACATTAGCATTTACAACTCACAATTATATTATTTCATAGCAACACTATGTGAAGTGAATCAATGTTCTCCATGGCAGGGGATATTCTTGATAAAAAAAAAATGTATTATTTCATGTCATCAGTTATAAAAAATATGTTTCTTTGATGTTTCTTTTTTTGTCGTCCGCACATGTCCATATATATTGTTTCCTTGAAGGCATTTCAAACTTTATTTTTTGTCAATTAGATTTAAATTCTTTCGGACTCAACTTCATATTTGTTGATTTTCAGTTTTTATCCCATTTCGACAGAAAAATTAAAGCAGACGATTATTTTCGACTTCCGATAGTCATGCGAAATGTAATTATTTGTAAAGTTAAAAAATTATAAACAGTAACAAAAAACACTTTATTTTTAGTTTAAAGTTAAATATAAAAATTGTAAATATTTTTAATAAATGAAGCTATTGTTCACGAAATATATTTTATAAAAATTCGCTGCGAGTCTTGTGCAAAATTCTTATTAAATAGCTTAATATTTTTCTCGACAGATAAATAAAAGATAACAGACATTTGTGCCTTGTTTGTCGTAGTTGACAAATTCACGGAATCACGTGACTTTTGAAAAAGCGGTGACCGACATGAATTCCACACTAAAATAAGTACCGGAGTTTTACCCATAAATTTGTTCATTCCGACTTAAATTTTAAAATAATCCTATCAGTAATTGTTTTTCATTATCAACATAGATAATGGATATGTAATTCTTCTATTTATCCGGGTTGTTGCTTAACCATAGAATAAAGAAAAAGGGTGTAAGAAATAATGTCCGAGTTGTGTCGACTACCATTTGGGCCGACCAGCTAGGCAAATGTTGCGACAATGGAATTAATAACTGGTTCAAAAAATGTTTTTTTATTGGATAAAAGATTGTTACAAAACACAAGGAAACATTGTATCTTGTTCCTTTGTATTCTGCTAAAAGTGCATCTTTATAGATGAAACTTGATTTTTTCCAGATCTAGAAGAGATTTCTTCCTTCTGAAGAACTACTATTTTTATTTATTATTGTTGTCAATGTTATTATCATTGTGGAAAAATATATACACAGAAAGAAAAAATCCGAAGGGATCATCATCGGATCCCCCCCATCTTTTTTTTTTTCGGTCTTTTTTTCCATTCTCTTGAAACAATGACGTCGTTTGGATGGAAGCGAAAAATTGGTGAGAAAATTTCGCGCACTGCCTCCGCTGCTTTTCAAGCTGATGCCGAGGAAGATGAAGATGAAATTGATGATGGACAAATAGATTGGTTGACCCTCGCCCCAAAACGAAAGTTTGGGGGAGGAAATCTTCTTGAAGATACTGTTTGTAAAAGTGATCGTCTTAGGCAAGAAGGCAACACCTTATGTGAAGCAGAAAGGTAAATTGTAAATATCTTTCTTTCTCTTTTGACACTTTTTTTTTTAATATAAAATTTATTTTCGACAATGAAACTTTATTTAATTTTTTTTGTGTGTCATTTTCTCCTTAAGTGTTTATTCCCTTTGTTTATTAATCTCTTTTGTTGTTTTTTAGTTATTTATCTTTCATTTAAATTTTAAAGGGTTTGAAATTTAAAATTTAAAAGAAACATTTCAAACCTTTTTTTTATTGTTTTCTTCGTCGATTTGATCAAATTTATTTCTACCTCTAAAATATTTCGAGATGAATTTTTTTAAAACTCACTTGAATATTGATTGAGTTTAACGTTACAAAACATCAATAAACTAAAATTAAAAAAGAAAAAAGAAATTTAAAGAAACCGTAATTATTTTTTAAGTGAAAAATAACAGTTTAATCTTCTTGTCTTACTTACAGATTTTAACAAAATTTAAGGCTCAAATTTAAAGAAAGCAGTCAACAGAATTTCCACCCTGCAATATTTTGGGAACAAAAGATTTTTAAATGTTGATTTGGGCTCTTTTTTGTAGGGAGAGAATTTTAAATGACATTTTCTTCACAAAAATATTACCTGATTCTATTTGTCTTCAGGTAAAAATAAATGATAGTCAAAAACTCAAAATAAATACCATTTAAACATCTTTATTTTTTATGAACAAAAACAAGATATTCGTTTAGGGTTCAGTTGAGATGAGTCACCATCTTAAATGAAAGTTAGTGATGTCTGTTTTTCTTGAACCGGCCATGTTGATTGACTGAGGTTCGAACCTAGTAACGGGCAATAAGTGTTTCTTTTCTTTATCGTTTTCTTCGCTACATCACACTCAGTCAATTATTTTTATTTTAAAACAAAAAAAAGGAACAATTTTTTCCATTACAAAAGTGCTAACATTCTAGTTTCTGTTTACTCAAACAAAGGTAAATTTATATTGTAACACCCGAGCGCTAATATCCCTTCAATTTTTCCCCAAAAAGTCTTAATTCCGTGCAAATGTATATGCTTAACTCAAATCAACAATTAGATACTGAAAAAACCTACCTTTTTGGATGTTAACGACAGAAAAACATCGAACTTCTTCTCGCTCTTCTTGTCATACTGTAACTTTTTTTTAAACTTTATTTTATGCACTGATGCAAATTTTATCCTTTATTCTTGTTTGTCTGTTTCTGATATTTACTTACTAATTTCAACTCCAAGATTTAAAAAGTTTAAAATTAAAAATATTAATTAACTGATGTTGACACCTTGCTCGTCCCAATTGTAGTGATTTCAAAAAATATTATAACTCCCTTCTTCACCCACTCTCATCAGATTTAATCTGTTGTATGAACATTTCCTCTTTATGACAATACATTAAAACTACAAACTAATAACCATGTAAGTTTAATACTCGACATCATTCAAATTTAATACTGATGGAAGTATTCTTTGGATTTTTGCTATGACTTGATTGCATAGAATTGGTGTTATATCCTTTAAGGAATTTTCAATGTCTTCCAATTTGTCCAATCAAAAATCCTTTTTCATTGTCCCTGATGGAATTTCTTCATTGAGGATCTCACCCATATTTTCAACCAATTTTCTTTTGATGAATGCCTTTATAACTAACCAAACACTTTCTATCAGATTAAGTATACGGTGCCATTTGGAGAAAATGATTGGGCTTAAATTCTGGATCGAGTAAAACTCTCTCAATGTTGGAGTGGCATGGAGCATTGTCAATGACAATAACCGTTGGTTCCTGATAGATTTTATAGGCCTTCTGCAAGCATTCCTTTATCCAATTTATAGACGCTTCCTTCTTATAGGAACCTCGATGAATTTCATGATGTATTAGCCCCTTGGTACCAATGCATCCAGTTACATGAATATTTGAACCCTTAAAAGCCACTAATTTCTCCTCGCAATGATTGAGCATGAGTTCTTGTAATATGCAGGTCGAAATTTTCTTATGTCCATAAATACGATGGGAGAATTGTCAGCTTGATAATCCAACAACATTTCAGCAAATTCCTTTTTCTTTTCCTTATTGGTATTACTATTCCCTGTTTCAATCTTAAAACTTAAATCTTTGATAGTGTACATTAAGCCATCAAGGTGCTGACGAATACATTCACTTGATACAGAAATATCATACTTCTGAATTTCTTCTGCAAGCTGAACACAGATGATTCTTGGCTTCTGCTCAATCTGATCAACAAAACATTGTTACTGGATCTCAGAAATTTTGGAATACCTATAGCCTCCTCTTCTATCTACTTTATAGCCATCATTTATCCATATATGCAGTAGATGTTTTCATTCCTGAGGATTTCCAGTTCCTATCATTTTTGTAGACTGCATGAATTGCTTTTCTTTTCATGGGCTTCAGATTTTCTTATGTAAGTCTTTTAGGTCATGGTTGTTAGTTGATAAATTGAATGAGTATAGCTTTTTTCAATTGGCAAACTAAGTAGTGTTCAACAAATTTGAAACAGCTTCATTAAAATTCAAACCTGATGTTTCTATTATATATATATATATATATATATATATATATATATATATATATATATATGTCTGACTGAATAAATTGCAGACATTATGTCTGCTAATTTTTAATAAAATCTGTTCAAACTCACGAATAACCTTCTGTGTATTGATGTTAAAGGATGAGAGAAATGTGTTATAACTGTTTAAATTTCTTGTATTTTCATTTCCCAAGTATTTTCAATCTTTTTCCAACATCTTCTTCAGGGGTGCAAATAGTACAAAACTATATATTGTACATTAGTATAAGTATTTATATAAAGATGTGCGTCGTTATACATTACCATCATTTTTTTCATTATGCTTTTAAGTGCAAAATGGTTGACAATGTGCTGAGCATTCATTAGAACGTGAAAAAATTATCCATTATGGAATTTTTTCTCTCTAGGTTATAATGTTATGGTCACGCACACATTAAAGCATGAAAAAACTGTTCCTTTACAGGCATTTCAGAACATTAATGCAGTATTCATAGTTGATTCTGTTCAGTGCCAGCTTTAATTTTTTAATATAAATTGCTTCTAGTATCTGTAATCTGAATTTTTTGTTTTCATGGTGTAGGATAGTTGTGTTGTTGATTAGTAATTTTTTATATTGTGAATATGGACAGGAATGTTGTTGTAGTCTCGCAATAGACAAATGGTCAGACATGTGGAGTGTAAGCCTTCTTGTTAGTGTATTTGTTGTATACCCAACATATGTATTTGTTTTTTTGTTGGAGATACATTCTCCCAAGGGACATTTAAATTGGTATATAATGTTGGTTTTACATTATACATCAGCTGGGGAGGAGTTATTAATGATAATTAAATTTGTTGTATTGTATTTTTTTATAATATATGATTAATTTTATTTTTTTATTAGAATCCTTGGAACATATATTAGTATGAATGAGATTCTTTATGATGTTTTCATCCTGTTTGTAGTTAGCATGCATCTGGTTACAGTATAGTAGTTTGATATATTTAGTGTCCTTTGGAGAAGTAATATATTCTATTTGATGTGTGTTGAGGTTTTTTTGTATATCGTCTTATTTGTTCATCCACAATGTGGCTTGGGAAGTCATTATTAATGAGAGTCTGCTTAATATTCTTTAGTTCAGTGTAGAAAATCTTTTTTCATAGAGGAATTAATTTGTGCTTGGTTAATTAAATTCTGTATAAATGCTATTTTGTAGTAATCTGGACATTCACTCTTATAGTTGAGAATGCAAGAGTTTTTGCTGGTTGTTTTTTTATATGGAGTGGTAGTAAATGTGTTGTTATTTTTGTCTATTAAAATGTCAAGGAAAGGGATTTTTTTTATCATTGTTAAGTTCATATGTGAACTTGAGGACAGAGTTTGTTTTTTTTTTAAAGATTTTTTTGACTTCCATTGTTTCTTCTATGTTTTTAACTAAAATAATATATCTTAGGTAGATGGAGGGTTTCTTGGTGGTACTAAATATGTTATTTTCTATATCGGCCATGTAGAATTTACTGAAAGTTGGACCCAAAACTGAACTTGGGAAATGAAAATAAAAGAAATTTAAACAGATATAGCACATTTCTCTGATCCTTTAACATCAATACACAGAAGGTTATTCATGAGTAGGAAAGGATTTTGTTAAAAATTAGTAGACATAATGTCTGTAATTTATTCCATCAGACATGTCTAAAAGAGAATTTGCTGCCTAAATACACAAATTTAAAATATATATATATATATATATATATATATATATAGATAGATAGATAGATAATACCAATTGGTAATTCATAAGGATAATTCCAAGAAGACATTAATCCAAAGAGAGCTCAATGTAAGTAACAGAGCAATATAATAATAATAATAATAATAATAATAAGTAAAGACAAATCTTAAAAATCCACTCAGCTATAATTTATTTCATGAATGTATTCAAATATTCATCTCTTCAGACCAAAGTTTTTTTTAGAAAAAAACAAAAAAACTTTGGTTGGAACAGATTGTTGTAACCTAGGGAAGGTTACTGAATAGAATCATCACATGATGGTTGGTAATGAATAATAATACTTAGGACAAGAACAACACATATAAGATTCACCAGTGGCACATAGAAGTAGTAGTCGCTAGAAGTGAGTCAAGTGAATTCCACAATGAATCTCCAACTGCAAACTAACATACAGTATTTATTACTGTATTTATGTGAATGGGGACATAACCCATTATCATCTGTAGGTATGCTACAACAGAGATGAATATTTGAATATATTCATGAAATAAATTATAACGGAAATGTATTTTTAAGGATTATCTTTACTTATATATATATATATATATATAGCATTGTGCATAAGTGAACACTATTTACTAAAACAAATAAATGTGCTAAGCAGGTGGATTAGACCCAATTTATTTAGAAGCTGCAAAATATCAGTTGCTTGAACATACAGAAAAAATGAATAGTGAATGCTTATTATTAGTATATA